GAGTGTCGCGGCAGAGCGGCCGCGCGCCCGCAGGTCACGTGTCCTGAGGGGCGGGGAGAGGGGGTGGCCGTGGCTGCTGAGGGTGCGTGGGGGCGTGGAATCGTGGAATCACGGAGTCCTTGCAAAATATGGAATGTTCTTGAGAAAACACGTTCTTTGCTGTTTGATCTCTGTATGCTGTATTGGAGTCTGGCTGAGCTGGAGTTCACTCCCCCCGCAGCAGCCCTCACAATGCCGTGCTTTGCATTGGCAGCTGGAAGGGCGTAGATAACACACCGGTGTTTTGGCTCCCGCCGAGCACAGCACCAGCACGGTAACATTCCTCCGGCGAGGGGACCCAACCAGGCCAGCTGACCCAACCCAAACCAAAGAGATATTCCGTACCGTGTGACATCAGCTCAGATATAAAAGCTAAGGCAAGGAGCAGGAAGGCAGGCATTCACTGTCTCCAGTGGCTGCCTGCTAAGGAACCACTATGCGTGCTGAAGCCCTGCTTCTCGGGAAAGCGTCCGGACATCGCTGCTGATGGAAGTAGAGGATAAACATTATTTTTGGCTTTGCTTTTGCACGTGCAAGCTTTCGCTCAATAAACTGCCTTATCCCAACCCACGAGTTGTTTTCCATCTTACTCTCCCTCCCCTTTACAGCTGGGAAGGGGAGTGATAGAGTGGCTGGGTGGGCACCTGGCATCCAGCCAAGGTCAACCCACCACAAATGCTTTCAAGCCTAATCAACACTACGGGAGACATAACCCATGAAACTCCCGCCTAAAAGTGGTGGTTAAAAGGAAACCTCTAAGACTCCCATTTGTGAGTAGGTCAAGACGTTGGGTGCGTTGGTCATCATTTAGCCAAAATGCACACCGAGGTGCCACTGCTACAGTTTATATGTCAACGTTACACAATTTTGCCTTTTTCCTTCTCCATGTTCCCGTTACATATTCATGACATTTCCCAACATCTATTATATATATATATCCTCGCAAGGTCTCAGAGAGGCTTCATAGGGGGTCTTTGCTGGTCTTCTGTCTCAAGCCCCCAGTGTTCTAAGTGACCTCCTTAATAACTTCTTCAAAACAATTCCCTTGGTTATGAAGTAACTGGGTAGTGCTTGGTTAGTGCCTTTAAATCACTTGCTTTAGCTATTTGTAAATTCTATGGTACGTTCCATTGCAAATACCATCAGTCCTTGTTACATCTCTAAACCTCAACATCAAAACAAAAGATAACAAGCTCTAAGTGATGTCCAGGTGTTGGAAAAAGAAATTACTTGGTGGAATTGCCTTGTTAAAGTTTAGAGCTTGAGGTACTTCAATGACCTCAGACCCAGGGGTGGGTTAACAAAGCTTGGGAGGAAGGATGTACCCCTGATATTGGGCACAAAGAATGCAGAATTTATGGGCCACAAAGACAGCTGGCAGAACTCCCCAGATAAGGAAGAAACTGGTAAACCCAGCTCAGCAACTGTGCTGAAATCAGCTCCAATGGGGTACAAGGTAATTCCGGCAGGGGGAGATCTGTGACCACCAACTCACAGACCCAAGAGACCCATCGACCCAAAAGAAGAAAAAGTCTCAGCATGTGGAATAATGAGCATAAGCAGAGAGAGAATCATTAACCAGTGGAAGATAGAATACTGATTTATAAGAGAACTATATAACTTGTAGCCAATGAACACTAATTCCTTCTTTTGCTGAAAATATGAATAGTTCAAAGTCTTGATAATTGGTGTGCTTGATTTGTGTACATCTCCATCTTGCACCTTGTACAGAAGAAACACTGTCTCCTTTCTAAACTAGATTCTGTGTTTAGAGAGCTTCTAAAATCAGCAACAGTCATGGAATCATAGAATTGTCAAGAATGGAAGAGACCTTTAAGATCACCAGCCCAGCACTGCTGCTGTAACCCTTAAACCACAAAACCACATCACCCAGGCCAGAGCCAGATTCCTCTTAAACACCTCCAGGGATGGTGTCTCCACCACTTTCCTGGGCAACCTATTCCAATGCCTGACCACCTGACCAGTGACAATTTTTTTCAGATATCTAATTTGAATTTCCTCTGGTCCTCTCACTGTAAGCTTGGCAGAAGAGACCAAATCCCACCTCACTACAACCTCCCATCAGGGAGTTGCAGTGAGCAATGAAAACCCTACTAACCCTCCTCTTCTGCAGGCTAAATACCCCCAGCTCTCCCAGCTGTTCCTCATCAAGCATGTTTTCTAGACCTTTCACAAGCCTTGTTGCCCTTCACTGGACTTGCTCCAGCACTTCAAGGTCCTTTCTAAAGTGAGGGGCCCAGCACTGGACGTAGGTACACAATGTGTGGCTCCACCAGTGCTGAGTTCAGGGAGACAATCACTGCCCTGGTCCTGCTGGCCACACTGTCTTTCATACAAGCCAGGATTCTATTGGCCTTCTCAGCCTTCTGGGCACACATTGGCTCATATTCAGCTGCTGCTGCTGAAGCAGCTCTCGAGCCACTCCTCTGGCCCGTATTTGGGGCCATGGTGGTGTGAGGCGGCTCCCTCAGGAGGGCAAGAAGGGGAAGGGGAGAAGTCTGGTAAGTCAGTGGTAGTAAATGAGCAATTTGGCTTTTCAGTCGTAATAAACCAGCAATTTGGCCTAGATCAAACTCCAGGCTCTCTCTGGAGGAAGAAGCCTCTGGCACATCACAGGTCTGTGTATGGTGTGTATGGTAAACACACCTATATAAGCATCTAACTTATGCAGGTAATATTTCTCAGGAATTTGGTGCCAAAAAGGCAGAACTGAAGCTGTCTAGTGATACCTTGTGTCTTTCCAGATCAGCAGCTCCAGCAAGTCAATTATTCTCCAACACTTGGAGAAGATGCATATGCTCACATTGTAACAAACAGCAACTTGTCCGAATTTCTCCCATGTTACACATCAGCTGCCTTAAAGAATTAAGATCACTTTCTAAACCTTTTGCCCATTCCTATTTCACCCTTAAATGAAACATGGTACCAAATGTTACTTTTACACAGATATTGTTAAGCCTCAACCTCATTCCCAGGTGGATCCAGGTCCCCAACCAGTGACAGCGCCTGTTGTAATTTGGAGCTGATCTTTGCCTTCCTATTTTTGTGTCTGTAAAAATCAAAGTACAATGTTTTACCTCATTATTTAAAACACTGTATAAAACTCATGGAGTTTGAATGTTCAACTTACATTTATTATTTCTTCAGTAGTTGGTGGAGAATTAAGAATGTTCTCATCTGACTGTCATTAGAATTTTACATTAGCTTTGTTAATGAAAAGAAAAATGTAGGGAAGATTATACATATCCTTATCTTAAAAATCTTAACACATTGAGAAAAAATAGAATATCATTAAATAATGACAGTGCATAATGAATATGATTTATGCGGGGTATGCACATTAATTAACTGCCATGCAGAGTGCTGCAATCACCCATTCAGTCACAGGTTAAGGTAATTAAATACTGTTCTTGCTATTGGAGAGATTTCAGACCTTAGTCCCCAAAGATGTAACATTGCATTCTCACTAACTTAACTTTTTTCATTCATAAAAAATTGAAGAATTAATCCAATTAAAATGTATTGGAAGAATCACAGCGTATTTTCCTCTTAAATCCATTTAAACATCTGCGAGAGTCATATACACTGAAGGGAAATAAGATTATATGAGAACGAAGTTGCCTTTCTACTTTGAAATTTAATTAAAACAATCTGATTGAAAAATCATATATTTAAGTAGCTCAATGCTTGTATGTGGCTATTTAAATAAAAAAGGTCAACAGAAGTCTTGTGAACCTGAGGACAATAAATATTGTTAGAGATATTTTCTAGGTCTTCTTTTTGTCTTACATAAAAACTTGGTATTCTAAACCGGTGACTTGCTGACTACTTCAGCTTCTGATGTCCACTAGTCTTTTATGAAATATATTTGGAGGAACAATATGGTAAAAATCCAAATGGAAGAGCTCAGTGTAGTGGTTTAACCCCAGAGGGCATCTCAGCCCCAGCAGCTACTTGCTCACCCCTGGGGTGGGGCAGAGAATGGGAAGGGTAAAAGTGAGAAAACCTGTGGGTTGAGACAAAGACAGTTAAACAGGTAAAGCAAAAGCCATGTACGTAAGCAAAGCAAACCAGGGAATCCATTCCCCACTCCCCATGGGCAGGCAGGTGCTCAGCCATCCCTAGGAAATCTGGACTCCATCACATGTGATGGGGACTAGGGAAGAGGAACACCATCACTCCACATGTTCCCCTCCTTTCTCCTGCTCCTCCAGGTTTATATGCTGAGCATATAAACATCCTGTGCACCTCTAGCCCCCTTGCTGGTGGGCTGAGGAGCAGAAAAAGCCTTGGCTCTGTGTAATCTTTGCTCGGCAGTAGTGAAACAACCCTGTGTTATCAACACTGTTTCCAGCACAAATCCAAACCACAGCCCCATACCAGCTACTGTGAAGAAAACTAATTCTACCCCAGCCAAAACCAGCACTCAAGGAAAACAAAATGAACCTGCACAAACCACCTTTGTTTTTTTGGTGGGTTTGACACTAAAGAAGGACAGAGCCTTCCTTGTAGTCCAGCAGAAGCTGGTATCAGCAGGAATTGCTGATGCTCAGCATCCTTCAGGTTGAGCTTGTGGCAGTTTTGGCCAGAGCTAAAAAAAACTGCTGTCTAATACTATTTTGCCTGAAGTGTTCTAAAGCCTAAACAGAAGAATGGTGACACCACAGGTAGCCAGCAAATGTTCCCATAAGAACAAAGACTGTAAGTGCTCATCCACGTTTTTCTGTCCGGTATAAAATCCTCCTGGGAGGAGGATGCCTGTGCACTCACTGGATAATAATGAAAACCCATTTCAATCAATAGGCTATAGAGTAAGCCATCTTCCCATTCTTATATCAGGACTCAATCTAATTAGAGCAATAACACTTCAACATTTAAAGTATCCAACCTTACTTTAGGAAGTATTTTTTAAGGAATAGAAAGAACATTAAACCATACTGTTGCTAAACACTAGTATTTATTTTGATAGTGACAGTGACATATCAAGTATTACCCACACAAAATACATTATTTCTGCACCTACAACCATATTGTCCAGATTGTTTCTGATGAATAAGTTGCCAGTGGTGTAGGTGGCAGCTGAAATGTAACGTTCCCCACACAGACTTTTTCATCCTGTCACAACACTGACAAAGCATCAGTGCACACCCTTGTAGTGCTGAGCTGAGTGTGACATGATGCACTTCCCAGCAGTGGATACAGACAAGTGTTGCCTTTTATTGGGCATCAACAAAGTTCTGATTAAATTCTGTTTTAAGATTCTTTCAAATTCTGTTTATTGCTCATAACAAAGACTGAAATGTAATGGCTATATAGTTTTCTCAGCTCTTTCCTTCCTGAGAATCAAGTCCTAATAACATGGCATTCATTATAATTCAGAGATTCTTATTACAACTGCAAAAGTTGCAATCTCTCCTTTATTATGAAAGCAGGGATTTCAGAATTGTTTAAACAGCCTAAATCCTCAAATGCACAGCAATACCTGTGCATACTCATTTCCAGTACCTATGAGAGACTGTTAGATGCTTGTCAAATTTCTTTTTCACCTGTACAATTGCACATGCCAACAGAAGCATCCCTAAGGATCCAGCACTGTTTCCATAGTTTACCCTCTTTAGTATCTTCATAATTATTCAAATTGTTTTCTGCTAAGACCCAAAAATTCCAGAGCATTTCCAGCCTTGAGTTTATCCTGTAAAAACAAAACACATATATATGCTTGTGCTTAACTCATATTTAACTCAAATACTTTCACTTGTGCTTTAAAAGGAACTGCTGCAACGAGAGCAGAGGGCCTCTTCCAGTCTCTGCAGAAATCAGTGTACTACACTGAGTTTTCAGTGTTCTATCTCATGTCTCAAACTAGAGAGGGAAAAAACCCCTCTAACGTAAAGATCATACCTTCAGTTTATGGTCAAAATCGTCCATCGAATCAATCAATTTTCCAGGTTCCAGTTCCCCAAGTGGGAAAGGGTAATCTGTCCCCAAAATTACTTTGTCCTGGTAATAAAAAAAGTTGTACACTTTGTAGTAACATTGAACAACAGAGTTGCCTTCTGGAATTTATAATAAACCACAGGAAATTGCATGTACGTACTGGAGTGATTAGTTATGAAAGTGAATATGAAGATAATAACTTCCATTAGGGAAAGAAAAAAGCTTGAAAACAATGGCTCAAGAGTTTATTGGGTGAATTTAAGTTTGAAAAAATTGCAGGTTATTTGTTAATAATTTTTGTGGTGCCTAACTGAAGTTTGAGGTATTTTTATTCTGATATACAAAAAGTTCAAAATGCAAATCCCAGGCCCATGGCATGACTGTCTGTTGCTCGGGTGAATAAAAGACAAATAGGGATTTCCTACTCAAATTGATTTTCTGTGATGATGGTTAGAAATGTAACAAAGAGGCATCTATTGTTCTCCTACACTGCTTATATTACTGCTGCAAGTAGTTTGCCTAAAATGCAATGATTAATTTTGGTTGCCATAATTAAATAGCCAATAAAGGACACACAGAATTCTCCCTTCTGATTTTTGACTTATTCACTGCATGCTCTGCACTGTTGTGTGCAGTCCAAAATGTGTATGAGACTTTTTGACACATTTCTTTAAGAATCTAAGGAAATTCTCCACCAAACTCAGAAAATGTGCTTGGATTTGCATTCTTGAATTTGAAATTTTTATCTACATACACACAGACACACAAAAACTTAAACTTACATATGTGTGAGAAGAACATGTAACAAGAAATACAAAGCAATCAAAATTACCTTTGGTGTGATACCTTGAAAATTGTAATAATGGCAAAGTGACACTACTTAAAGTATGATACAATGTAGAATTACTACAAACACTGACATTAAAAGAGTATTTAATTTAATTTAACTGGTATTCAGCTTCAGATTACAAAACCTAATCTTATTTACAAAATTTCATATATTTCTGGAAGTCTGTAACTTTTTTAAATGTCAATGGCTTTAACTGGGACTGGATATTAACTGTGCATTTGAAACATGTACCTGAGAATATGAGTGACATGATATGATTTATTTCTGAAAGAAAGTCTATGAAAAGAAAATTCAATAAAAATCTGCATGCAACGTTCCTGTTATCAGAGATGAAAAGAAATAGGCACATCCTTGACAGGGCCACATTGTTATGGGCTCACTTTCACCCTGGAGTGATATTTCTCCATTTTATCTGCCTTGGCGAGTGCATACTGCCAACTCTCCTGATTTTATTAAAAGTCTGTTTTTCTTTAAGTTTCATCTCCTGAAGACATGAATATTTGAAAACCACAGTTTTCATTAAAAAATATGTTTTGAAATGTGTCATGAATTTGAAGTCAAGCTGATAAATATGGGACACTTTTTATAATGTTTGGACTCTATTACCAATAATGACATATGGTGAAGAAAACATCATTCAATTATTTTTTTAAATGCTTTGTTTTTCCTAGTTGCCAAATGCTTTTTGTTTTTAAATTGTTTAACCTCCAGTAGATGTCAGCCAAGAGTCTCTGGAAGAATCTACACAAACCTTTACCCAAAATCCAACCAGGAGATATTCTATTGTTCTGTCCTATATTGATGTGTTATAATTTATTATGGAAGACCTGCTAAAAGATTAATATAGGAGAATTTATATGCCCTGTCTAATAAATCAGTTTCTGAGTGTAGATGAAAAAAATATATTTAGGGTATGTACTTTTAAGCTTCTAAATATATTCTTTTATTTATAATATTCAATTAAATACCAAGACATTTTATTCAGATAGGAAAAAAATATATGCCATCTACAAAAACCTCTAATCAATAAACATACCAGGTTTATATGAGAAAATGGATTTCTAAGCAAAGGAGAAGGAAATGCAGAATTTGCCCAGCTATTTACTAGGCAAGGTTAAGTAAGGCAGGAAGGCTTGTACATCCTTGTTTACGCCTCCTATATACCAAACCAGAAAGAAATCCCACAACCTCATTAGAATAATATATATTTTTCTTTTCCTCTCTATATAAATATATTTTTCTTTTCCTCTATTTGAAAGTGTTTCACAAGTGTTTGAAAACTAATCATGGGATCTGTTCCTTAGTAGTAAAATTAAGAACTGTAAATTGATAGGAAAAATTTAGGAGCAGCATTCTGGCTGGTGATCTTAGGCTATTCATTTATACTCTTTGAGCTTCAGTTTTGTACCCATCTATAAAACATGGATTGGAATACCTGTCTTTAGCAACCAGCCTCAGAGAAGTCTTATGAAGCCTTTGCAGATAAATAATGCTCCTAGCATAAGAGATGTACTATTATATTATTCCAAAGCATATCAACAAATTCAGTTTTTCCTAGAAGAATTATGGTTTGATTCCTTAATTAGCACAGGTCTCTGTTTAGAAAGGTACATGGGGTAATGATTAACCTCAGGGGACTCTTTTGCTTCATAGTACTTTTTCTCACAGTAATAGGGACCTGAATCTGAAAATGAACCTCAAAGTTGGTTCACCTTAAGCATGAGTTTGCTCTCTTATATTGGTAAAAATTACCTTGAATCTCACCTTCTTTCCTACTATCAGAACACATCTCAAAAAAAAGGTCAGATTGCTACAACCAGTTCAGCTCCAACTTCTGGCCAGAGGATGTTTTGCCTTTGGGCGATGGCTCTTGAGGAATCACCATGGGGAAGTTTTTGCAGAGATACACTGAATCATTTAATCCCATGTCAACCCAGTTCTTCACTTTTCATAGCCAGTATCATTAGGGATTTTGTGTTTTTTGTGTTCACCTCATCCCACCTCATCATGGGGGGAGCGAAGGACTGCAGCAATTTTACAGTCTCACAAAGCTCCCAGAAATGTGTGTTTCTGCTTCCTTTAGCTAGGATGGGCTCCAATTAACCTGCACCTAAAACAAAGAAGGCTTGAACTTCACTGTCCATGACTCACCACAGATGTCACTGGATTTTAGTATTCATCAGCTCAAAGCCAACACGTTACATTCAGGTGCCAGGTAGTGGCTGTTCCCTGAGGACCCAGAGCCATGTCTAAGCACATCCCCTTCCTGCACAGCTCTTAGCCATCCTCTGGAGAGCTGTCCTATTTCAAACCTTCAGCTCAGAAAGTTACAGTGTCATCGTCAAGACTCAATCACATTGTTTTTAGCCCAGAATTTATTAATCTTACATGTGTTATCCTGCCAACACACGACTGCACTGAAAGCACTGAGATATTTGGTGTTTCTTTAAATGTTTGACTCATGGAAGGGTATTATGTAAGAATATCAACTTTCATTAGAAAAAAAGGGAGCTTTTTAATCTTCACGGCTATAAAGTAAAGTTTGAAAATGTCATGTGAATTTTTTTTTTCAAGGATAAAATGCCTTAGGCTATGAAAAAGAGAAAGTTTGCCTGAGTGTTAAAAAGCACTTATGTTTTGGGTATCTGACTCATAACTTTACAGCACTAGAGTTCCACCTGATGTCTCACTGCTTGAGCTCAGAATACTCAGAGGAGAATTGAAGGACACCATCACTCTGTGTAGTATGCTGGCCAAATTTATTGCATTTAGAAACTTAATTTCAGAAGGCTGTTGACAAAAGAAACAAGACACCAGAGAGGTTAATGCTGAGTGACTTTTAGATTATCAAATTACAATCTGTCATCTCTCTCTCCTCAAACTCTCTCCTCAACTAAATTTCAGTTGCAAAGACTAATCATGATTAAGGGCCAGAGTCTAACTTCTTTCTCTATTGTCCTCACTTCTTCACTACTGTGATGTCCA